GCATTTGCTGGTAAATGGATGAAACTGGAGGCTGTTCTACTAAGTGAATAAGCCAATTCCCCAAAGGCAGAATGTCCTCTTTGATATGTGGATGCTACCCACAGCAAAGGAGGAGAAGATTAAGTCACTGGACTAGACAAAGGGGAATGAAGGGAAGGGGGGATGGGAATAGAAAAGACAGTAGAATGAATCAGACATATCTTTCCTATCTGCATATATGAATACATGACCAATGTACTCCACATCATGCACAGTCACAATAATGGGATCCTAATTGGAACAAGTTATACTTACTCTATTATGTATAATATTTCAAAATATACTTTCCTGTAAAAAAAATAAAAGAATATCTATCTATCTATCTATCTATCTATCTATCTATCTATCTAAATGCTCATACACAGGCCAAGGGAAGATGGTGTTCAGGTTCAGGGGCCCACACAGCCCTCTGATCTCAGAACAGAGTCACCCTTAACTCTGGGCTGTGTATTCCTTCTCCCCAGAGCTTCACCTGACTCCCACATCTTCATCTTGTCTCATTTCCCTTCACTAATTTAAGAAATCCCAGTCCACCAAGCCCTGTGCCAGGCGTGGAGAAGCAACAGATTAAAGGATCTTAAGGAATTCACAAGAAAGATTGTCTGGGGCACCACTGGGCCCCAGAGCTGCCTCCTTTAACTGCGTTTGCTTCTATACAAGTCAAGTGCCATAGCAAAAGTAAGCCTTCACCCAGTGCCCAAGCTCTGCTGAGTTCAGGAAATGTGGTGGATGGAAATCATCCCACTGCGGCTGGGCTCCCCACATCCTGCACTCAGTCATCTTATACCTTCTGTCCTAGGTGCTGGGCTGTCATTCTGGCCCCACCTGGAAGTGGGCTTGCGGGAACTCCACCTGGGCCTTGCTTAGCTGGGTGGGGGAGGGAGGAGCCCAGCTTCCACTGCTGACGAGGGAGACCTTACAGTTTCCACCGTCGCAGCAGGGGTCAGCTATACCAGGGAACCCTGAGTTCACTGCCAGCTCACCATTGATCTTTGCTTATCGCATATAACATTCTCATAAAAGAGCTAGGGTTTTCCCCAGACTTCGTCAGAACCCAAATGAGGTTGGGGAGGGGAGTTAGCTGGATATGTGTTCAGCCATAGGCAGATGTTTTTAAAAGATAAAACTGTTAGGCCGGAGAGTGTCGTCTGTAAGTGGGAACATGCTATCTCCCATTTCCATAAAGAATTCCCACTGGTGTCCAGGAGGGGAGAAGCAGTAGAAGGAGAAATTACAATTCCTCTTTCCCTTTCCCTTGCTGTGCCTCATTGGAGGAGGATAAGTTTCCATGCTTGACAGGCTGAGGAGAGTTCATCCTTTGTCCTCCATTAGGCCATGTTAACCTATTGGGTCCACCTCTCCTGCCTTCCTGGGAGAACCTAGACCTCACAGCAATGGCATTTGGGCCCGAGACCTGTGTGATAAGGTAGCTAAGTGGGTTTTTATTTTTCAGATAGGTCCTTGACCTTGATAACCTGGCAATGCACCATCCCAATGTGCTGGTGGCTGTCTCCCCAGTGGGCTGATTGCAAATAGCAGAAATAAACCATATATCTGTCAGCTGAAGTTCTATCTCTGAAAAGCCCCGTTGCTGTCATTGTGTGGAAGAAAGCACAAAGCATTAAGACAGGTGAGGCAACAGTTCTTGCCAAAATACAGGGAAAAAAAATGTGACATTTTTGCTTTTTTTCCATCTAGCATTGTACAGTTCCAATCACGGTGCAGTTTCCATAGTAGGATTAATCAGTCTGCTCTTCTTTCTGCTTTTAGATACCTTCCAAGTCGTTCCTAATAGAAATGCTATGGTATTGTAGTTGGAAGCCTTTCTTTCCTTCCCGCATTTTGGATTATTGTCTTAGGATAGATTTCCAAAAGTTGGTCCCAAGTTCCCCTGGACACTTTACACGTTCTTCTCTGACTCCCAAATTGAGCCTTTAGATGTGCTCCCATGTCCCTTTGCGTGACGGCCGAGTGGCAGAGGCTTCTCTGGTTGTCTTAGTGGTTTTCTTTTTATCTCCTGTGTTTGAAGGAGGGCCCAGCAGCTGACCTAACTCTCTCTCTCTCTCTCTCTTTTTTTTTTTTTTTTACTGGGGATTAAAACCCAGGGGCAATTTACCACTGAGCTATATCTCAAGCTGTTTTTAATTTATATTTTGAGACAAAAAATTGCCAAATTGCTAAGGTGCCTGGCTTCCTCTTGCCTCAGCCTCCCGAGTCATTACAGGTGTATACTACTGTGTGCCTGGACTGTGCCCAACTGAGATTACCTGCCTTGCCATTTGTGCAAACCCTTCAGCAATGTGACACCGCCCCCCCAACCCTTGCCCTCATTTCCCTATCCATAAAACCTTAAATTTATTGTCAATCCCTCGAAGACAGTTCTAAGGACATGAGTCCCCCATTTCTTCCTGATGTAGTTACACTAATTAAAGCTCCTTTCCTCCTTTTTTTGGGGGGATGGTGGTGGTGGAACCCAGGGGTGTTTATCCCTGAGCCATATCCCAGCACCTTTTATTTTTTTTGTTTAGAGAGAGGGTCTCACTAAGTTGCTTAGGGTCTCTCTAAGTTGAGGCTGACTTTGAACTTGCAATCCTCCTGCCTCTGCCACCCCAGCCACTGGGATACCAGGTGTGTGCTTCCACACCCTACTCCTTTCCTGCTTTTTACCATTACTTTATCCTTTGGGTTTGGGAAGCAAGTAACTGGGTACGATTTGTTGACACCTCCAGAGTCAGGCCTCTGGAAACATTTTCAGCTACTTTTTCACTTTCATGAGTTCTGTCTTAACACATCTTTTTTTTTTTTTTTTTTAGCAAATTTTCTCCCAAACTTACTAGGTCCTGAGGGATGGTGATGACCTCTATCTGCTCCTACTCCAGATTTGGGTTGAAAAGCTAGATGGAGTCAATGGAAGAGTGAGGATAGGAGGGGCAGGGGGACCCAGCTCACTGGTAGAGTGCTTGCCTAGCATCCATGAAGCCCTGGGTTCCATTTCAGCTCTGGAAGAAAAAAAATAAAATAAAACATTTAAAAAGGAAAAAGCTACTGTTGCCTAAAAGCATGTCATGGGCTCCACCCTTCAGACTGACATTATTATTATTTTTTCCTCACAAGCACTCCAGAAGGAAGCTGTACATTTTCCATACAAACAAGCTAAGAATGGAAGACCAATGAGCTGTGAGCCCAACTGCATTCCAAAATCAAAGAGCAGCGATGCCTACGATCTTCATTGGTTCCCACACTCTATATCTCCCAGACTTGTCTAAGATTCCTAATCTGGCAAGATCTTTTCTATCAGTGAGTTTTTAATCAAAACTATGCTGCATAGCAATGACAAAATCTCAGTTATGCTTAAAAAGAATTCATAATTGTTATTATTAATGCCAAGTGTATCTAAATTGCTCATGCAACCCCGGGTGGCCGGCGAGGCAGCCCTGTTGATCTTTGATAGTATATTGGTCTGTTTTATGTTGCTAATAACACAACATTAAACAATGGATAAGTTCTAAAAGAGAATCTTGGACTGGGGTTGTAGCTCAGGGGTAGAGTGCTTGCCTAACATTTGTGAGGCACTGGGTTCGATCCTAAGCACCACATAAAAATAAATAAAAAACAAAACAAAACAAAGGTCCATTGACATAAAAAAATTAAAAAAATAAAAGAGAGTCTTCCTCCTCATAAAAGCCCTTCAGCTCACTTGCACCTGATTGGCCAAAGAAAGTTACATGAATGACAGTGACAGTCAGAGGTACTGCAAAGTCATATAAAAAAAATGTGTGGACACAGGAGGACTGAGAAGAAATGAGCCACACAGAAACCTCCAGAACGAAGGGTCTATTAAGGTATGTGTTGATAATCAGCTTTGGGAAAGGAGGGGATGAGTAGGCAGGGACACTTTTATGTCCTTAGGGAGAGGCACAGAAAAGGCTGATATTTTAGAGATAAATTTTAAGAAACTTTGCATGTCTTCAGAGCCCACAAACTGCATGTGTCTTAGAGGCTGCCTGTGGCTGTGGCTGAGAGAAGCAAGTCAGCGAGCCATGCCATTTTCTCTGCAGGACATAGGAGGGAATCAAAGCTCATACATGAGTGAAAAGTAAATAAGAAAAGATACCTCCTTTCATTAAGCATTTGGGGAGACTTGGTCTTAATATATAGAATATACTTTATTTTGATCATCTCATTGGGCTCAATGTGTTCTCTTTTATGCTTTTCAGTGAAGAAACATGTATGCATGTATGCGTGTATATGTGTGTGTGTGCGTGTGTGTGTATGTGTGTGCAGGGAATTGAACCCAGACTTGTGCATGCTGAGCATGCACTACCATTGGCCTATATTCCTGGGCCCTATGATTTTTTATACAACTGAATTGCAGTTTTCATTAGGTTTACTACTAGTGAATCTGGTGATTTTCATTTTTAGTACAATTGGGATCACTTTTTTTTTTTCCCTAGTGCATTTCAAACTTAGCTATTTCTGGTGCTTAGGAAAGCAATTAAAAGAATGAGCTAAACTTATGAATATCACGTTGATGTATCTCTAAAATACAAAATGAGAAACATTCTGTCATCTGTGTAACTTCAAAGCGAACACAGAACAATATTACATATAAGCATGAAAAGAACGGGGGTGGGGTAAGGAAAGAGAGAGACTGAGAGAGGGACAGAGAGAGAGAGAGAGAAGAAAATAATGAAGGAAAGCAAGAAAGAACGTGGAGAGGGAGGGAGAGGAAAAGGGAGGGATTGAGCCTTTCTGACCTTATTGAACTTTACTTACCTTCTAAAAGGTACAGTCTCCAAACATGGTCACTTTGAGGGCGAGGACTTCAACATGTGCATTGGGGAGGGGACACAATTGGGTCCATAACATACACAACATTTGTTTAAATAAAAATATTTTTAAGGAATGAGTGACTTTGCGGTACCCTCTTATGTGTCTCTTTGACCAGGTCCCCTGCCTTGATGGATTATACCCTTGAGCCCAACCTGACGGTGACTTCTGACTACTACTATCCTGACACCTTCTCGAGCCCCTGCGATGGGGAACTTATCCAGAGAGACAGCAAGTTGCTTCTTGCCATCATCTACTGCTTCCTGTTTGTATTTGGCCTTCTGGGAAACAGCCTGGTTATCCTGGTCCTTGTGGTCTGCAAGAAGCTGAGGAGCATCACGGACATATACCTCTTGAACTTGGCCTTGTCTGACCTGCTTTTTGTCTTTTCCTTCCCCTTTCAGACCCACTATCAGCTGGATCAATGGGTATTTGGGACCGTCATGTGCAAGGTGTTCTCTGGTTTTTATTACATTGGCTTCTTCAGCAGCATGTTCTTCATCACCCTCATGAGCATGGACAGGTACCTGGCTATTGTCCACGCCGTGTATGCCATAAAGGTGAGGACGGTCAGGACGGGCACAGTCCTGAGCCTGGCAGTGTGGCTGGTCACCATGGTTGCCACTGGCCCATTGCTAGTATTTTACCAGGTGGCCTCTGAAGATGGTGTTCTTCAGTGTTATTCATTTTACAATCAACAGACATTGAAGTGGAAGATCTTCATCCACTTTGAAATAAACATCTTAGGCTTGTTGATCCCATTCGCCATCCTCCTGTTCTGCTACGCCAGGATCCTGCACCAGCTAAAGACTTGCCAAAACCACAACAAGACCAAGGCCATCAAGTTGGTGCTTATTGTGGTCGTTGCATCTTTACTCTTCTGGGTCCCATTCAATGTGGTCCTCTTCCTCACGTCCCTGCACGACATGCACGTCTTGGACGGGTGCATCCTGAACCAGCAGCTGGTTTATGCCACCCATGTCACAGAAACCATTTCCTTCACTCACTGCTGTGTGAACCCTGTTATCTATGCTTTCATGGGTGAGAAGTTCAAGAAATGCCTCTCAGAAATATTTCAGAAAATTTTCAGCTACATTTTCCCCTCCATGGGAAGACAGATGCCCAGGGAGGGGTGGGAAAGGCGGTCATCTTCCCACCCTATGGCCTCCCGCTCCTCCAGCATAGACTACATTTTGTAAGGGGGGGGGCGTGCCTCCAAGTGTACTCTGCCTTCATTGCCACTTTTCTCTAAAGAAATAAAAATGACTTCCATGGGGGCTGTGAAGCCATGTAGGAAAACTCTTAGGAACTTTGGTTTAAGATACAGACATATTTTATATATTTAATCCATTCCTACTATTGCAAGTTAATCTCAACTTTCAAAAACATTGGTACTATTCTGGAAATATTCTACATATTCCACTTTTTTATTTTTTAGCTTTAGGAGGATGCAATATCTTTATTTTATGTTTATGTGGTGCTGAGGATTGAACCCAGTGCTTCATGCATGCTAGGAGGGCACTCTACTGCTAAGCCACAACCCCAGCCCCTCCACTACTAATTTTAATGCTAGCAGTAGGGTATTTTTTAAAAAAAAAATTCTTAATCCGGTGCAGTGGTGCACACCTGTAATCCAAGCTACTTAGGAGACTGAGGCAGGAGGGTCACAAGTTTGAGGCCAGCCTCAGCAACTTAGCAAGAACTTGTCTCAAGAGACAAAACAAACCAACGCCTTCCACAAAACCAAACCATAATCTTGATATTGAAGAACTTCTATTCTTGCTTCTTTGATGTCTTTATTAGGCACAAATTTAAATGTTATCAAATCCCTTTTTCTTATCTATTGATGTAACCATATAATTTTCCACCACTGTTAATTTGGTTTATTACACTGATTTTAGTATCTTAAGTCAACCTACATTTTTCCTGAAAAATTAAAAATGACCCTTTGGTCTTGGGATTCTTATATCTGTGTTCATTAGTCTTGAAGTTTCCTTTCTTTTCATGACCTGGTCAGATTTGGCCTCTTAAAATGTATTGGGAAGTACACCCCTTTTCTCCAGTTTCTGAAACACTTTGTGTACAAATTTGATATGATGTCCTCCTTGAATGTTTGGTAGAATTCACCAATGAATTTATCTGGGGTTCCTCTCCAGGAGAATTTCAAATTATGCACACACGTTCAGTGACAGTCTATTCAGTTTCCCCTCCCTTCCTTCTCTTTTTTTCTATCACCAGCCCTTTCCATTTTTATATTGTGAGACAGGGTCTTACCAAGATTCCAAGGCTGGCCTTGAACTTGCAATCCTCTTGACTCCTTCTCCCAAGTTGTCGAGATTACAGGCATGCCTGGATAGACTATTCAGATTTTCTAGTTTTGCTTGTCTCAGTTTTGAAAAGTTGTGATTTCATTTTATTTGACAAGTCTACTAGCATTATACTGTCCTTAATATATTCTCATTACCTTTTAAATACATGAGGAGCTAAGTAATGTCCCTTTTCAGCCCTGACACTGACAACTGGTGTTCTCTTTCTCTTTTAGATCAGTCTTTGGGGCTTATCAGTTGTATTAATCGTTTAAAAGAAACAGCTTTGGCTTTGTTGGTTTCCTGCCTCATCTGTTCATTGATTTCTGCTCTTATCTTCAACTTTTTTGCTTTCTTTGAACTTAATTTACTGTTTTATATTAGTTTCTTGAAATAAAACCTTCCATCATTAATTGCCAATTGTTGTTCATATATTTAAATCTACAAGCTGAGTGCAGTGGTGCATGCCTATAATCCCAGCGGTCTGGGAGGTTGAGGCAGGAGGATTGTGAGTCAGTCTCAGCAACTTAGTGAGGCCCTAAGCAATTCTGTTTCTAAATAAAATTTAAAAGGGGCTGGGGATGTTGTTCAGTGGTAAAACACTCCTGGGTTCAATACCCAATACAACAACAACAAAAAAATCTACAAAATTCCCTTAAAGCACTGCCTTAGGTGTATCGTGTACATTTTAATGTAATAGATCTTCATTATTTTTTCAGTTTAAATTATTTTCTATTTTCCATTGTGTTCTCCCGCTTATAATCATGAGTTACTTAGAAATTAATTTTAAATTTTGAAACATATGCAGACTCTATATATGTGTACACTTTCAGTTATTTGAAATTTGTTGAGAATTATTTTATGATGCAAGATTTGGTTTGTTTCAATAAGTGGTGCATTACACTTAAAAAGAATGGCCATAGTAGGGAGGGAAAGGGGGTCATGAACTGAAATCAATTTCCATGCATGTATGAGTTTATTGGGACGAAACCAACTACTATGTTTAAATATAAAGCTCTGAGGGAAAAAAGAAAGAAAAAGAATGGTTGTATTCTGAAGTTGTTGTCCATAGCTGATTAATTAGATTGTTCAAGACTTCTATACTCTTGCAGGCTTTTTCTTTTGCTTACTCTGTGAGTAACTAAGAGAAGTACATTAAAATCTCTAGCTGTGGTTGTGAATTGTCTAATTTTTTTTTTCATTTTAATTTAGCTTATTTTTTCAGTGTATATTTTAAAGCTACCTTATTAAGTATATACAAATAGAAGATTGTTATGCCTTTTTATTGAATCGGTCCCTTTATCATTTTGCAATATCTCTTTTCTCCAGTAATACTTCACTAGGCCCAACCTCTTAAAAAATTCCTCATGTCGAAATAGCACCAAGCTGAGATCAGGTCTTTAACAGATGGACTTTTTTTGTGGGGGGGGGGGGGGGGGGGGCCGGGGGGCGGTGCTACCAGGAATTGAACTCAGGGGTACTTGACCACTGAGCCACGTCTCCAACCCTATTTTGTATTTTTTTATTTAGACACAGGGTTTCACTGAGTTGCTTAGCGCCTTGCTTTTGCTGAGGCTGGATTTGAACTTGCGATCCTCCTGTCTCAGCCTCCTAAACCACTGGGATTACAGGCATGCGCCACCGCACCCAGTATTAGGAATTTTTGAGGGACAATTCAGATCCAATTCGTAAAGTCTACTCTGTTCAGCATAGAAACACTGGCTTTCTTTTCATAAGTATATGCATTGCTTAAACCAAATTACTATCCTATGACTAAATGACCTCTTTTGTAAGTATAATTTAGTTGGTGTTTTTTCCACAAACAGAGAGGGTCGTATTACCACAGGATATATACAAAATCCAAAAATTGATAGACTCTGCTGGAGGCACACACTTGTAATCTCAGCTACTTGGAAGCCTGAGGCAGGAGGATTAGAAAACTGAGGCCAAACTGGGCACCTTAGCAAGAACCTGTCTCAATACTTTGCCCCCTGCCTCCTGGGTTCAGTTCTCAGAAGAGAGAGAGAGAGAGAGAGAGAGAGAGAGAGAGAGAGAGAGATATCTAAAATATCACTTTTAGGTAAAATATTCTCTACAAAAGACTGACTTTACAATTTTTTTTTTATCTTTTATTTTCTAGTTTAACAATATAATTTTAATTACAGACAATAATACATTCTGCAAGGTTAGTGATCTACATGGGATGGTATGTGTTAGTAAACTTTCTTTTGCTAGAACAAAATACCTAAGATAAAAGGAGGAAAGGTTTATTTTGGTTCACAGTTTTGGAGGTTTCAGTTCACTGTCACTTAGTTCTGTCATTCTTGGGCCTGTGGCAAGGCAGGACATCAGAGCAGGAGCACATGGAAAAGGAAACTGCTCATCTCATGGCATCTGGGAAGCAAAAAGAGCAAGAAAGGGGAGGGAACTGGGGACTGGATATGCCTTTCACTAGGCCCAATCTCTTAAAAATTTTTCATATTGCAATAGCACCACACTAAGATCGATGAACCCTTTTCTTTCTTTCTTTTAAAATAATTTTTAGTTGTCGATGGACCTTTATCTTATTTATTTACATGTGCTGCTCAGAATCAAACCCAGGGCTTCACACATGCTAGTCAAGTGCTCTACCACTGAGCCCCAGCCCCAGCCCAACATGTAGACTCTTGAGGGACAATTCAGATCCAAACTATAGTATCATGAGCAAGATTCCCAAACTATAGAATCATGAGCAAGGCAGGAGGATTGCAAGTTGAGACCAGTTTGGGCAACTTAGTGAGACCCTGTTTCTAAAGGTATATATATATATGACGTGACGGGGTTGTGGCTCAGTGCTTACCTGGCATGTGCAAGGCACTGGGTTCAATCCTCAGCACCACATAAAAATAAATAAGTAAAATAAAGGTATTGTGTATTGGATGGGGGACCATGGCCGGCGACTCATTAAGGGGTCCTTCTTCCTGCCAAGGATAATCCAAGCCACCCTAAGACTTACAGTCTCAAATAATTAAAATAACAAAGCACAAATACTCAGAAATATTTACAGAAAACGAATCCCCTGATAGATCTAGTCCACATGGGTTCTGGAACTAGATAGTTCCAGTGGTTTAAGGTTTCAAGGGCGGAGCCTAGCTTCCCGATGTCTTGCAGTCTGCAGGTTGATTGACATCTTGGCAGGTCACACCCATCTCAGGTGCTGGGTGGGATCTTTGGTAGAGCTTGAAGGGGAAGTTCATCTGTATCAGGCAATCTATCCCTGTGGGGGGGTGCCACCAGAGTTCCCAATGCCAAACTTATCCCCTCAGGAGCCTACTATGAGCAACAGTCCACACACAGCCCATGAACTGACGGCTCGTGACAATTGTGTTCAACTAAAACAAAATTTAAAACACACACACACACACACACAATAATAATAATAATAATAATAATAATAATAATAATAATAATAATAATAATAGGACTGGGGATATAGCTTGGTGGTAAAAAGCCTCTTGGTTCAATCCCCAGCACTAAACTAAGCTAAATTAAACTAAGCTAATTCTAACCTGAGGAAGAAATCCATCAGTTGTTATGATTGGGGTCTACTGTAACCAGAAAGTAGCATTAAAACTTATTTGATAAGGGAGAAAGAGAGGAGTATAGTTAACCTAAGAGACTGCCAATCTGGAATCCCAAGTGTAGGATATCCCCAAGTCCTGGGCTCTTCCTACTCTACCTTCCACATGGGCCAGTAAATCCACTGTCCTGCTCACACAGGCCCAGTGCTTCTCAGCCTGGCCGCCCTACTGCCCCGCCTAGAGCCAGCCACGCCCTGTGGACCAGGATTAAGAGGACAGTGCCTTCACTCTGGTGTAACCAGGATCTGTTGGGGACAGGACACAAGCTCCCTCTAGTGGTCTATCTGAGCTGAGTCCTGACTGGATAAAGAATGATGGACAAAAAAGAAAAGGAGGAAAGGGAATTTAGCATATAAAATCTCGTGGGTGGTGGCAGCAGCTGGAAAATTACTAATCTAGAAATTCTGTCTTAAGATTCTTGGTAAAATGCAGGGTTTTTTTTTTTGTATTTGGATTTTATATACTGGAGATTTCACTCAAGACTGCTAATTAAGTCCTATAAACCTGTTAACCCCCCTTGAAGGTCCTACTCTATAGACAGACCTCATTTGAACAGACCCCCAAAACCCGTGGGTGTTAAAGGAGGGGATACACTTGTTCACCCTAAAGAAAGTCCAGAGATCCTTCCTTTCCGTTCAAATCAGTGCATGTCAGATTAGTATTTCCCAGTTGGTTGATAGAAACAGTAGCATCCTGATTTCACCGACAGCTCACTCCTCCTCTGTGACCCTTACACCACTGATTGCTTCCCCTTCCTGGAAGTATCTCTTTTGCTTGAAGGGATCCTGAGGGAAGAGGGCTTTCCCGAGGTCCTCCTCTGGTCAAGTGCCTTCTGATCTGGACCATCCTAAGGGTGAGACACCATCCTGAGGTCCTCTTACAGACCTGGACATTTTTTCTAGTCCAAATGATAGAAGATGCTCTTGCTCAGGTTCACACAGACAGAAAGACCTGGCTTCAGTACGTCCTCATCTGCTTGTTCCAGCCTAGGCCCCGGCTGGAAGGGCTGCCTGGGTAGGGCACAGATGGCCATCCCAGCCAGCAGGGCCAGTTGGAAAGTGGCTACCAAGTTCTTGTTTACCGAAATGCAGAGGAGACCGGCCTCATTCTACCAGCTCCCTGGGTCGAAGCTCCCCCAACCACTGGTCCAGGGTGTGGCCTGTACTTTGTGGGAATTCTTCCCCTTTGATATCCACCCTCCTAAACTGTAGAGGAGTAAGAAGTGGACCTTAAGAATGAGAAGGGGGAAACTATTCTCATTCAGTGGTTGCCACATGCCAAACCCTGTACCACCAAGAACTTGGGCTATGTTAACTCTCCAACCCAACTGGGGATCAAACCCAGGGCCTGCCCCCTCCCTCTGCCAGCCTTGGCTATGTTAAGGTAATGGTCACAAGAACTTTTAGAAGAGAGTGTTTCTTCCTGCTTTATAAATGAATCAACAAATGACCCAACTGGAAATGTAAGATCGAGAGTCAGGTGTTTGCCTGCAGAGCCGGTGCTGTTTTCCCTGCCTCATTATATTGACAATAATTCAGGAGGGAACACAGATCCATCAGAATTTGAGAGTGAGGATAGAGCTGGGGCAGAGGGCTTGCCCTGTTTGAGCAGGTGCAACTCCCTCTACACACCTTGGTCTTTTCTTTGCATTTGTTTTGTCCCCAATTCATCTGCTCCACACCGAGTGGGACAGTACTGTGGTGCTGGCTGGAAGAGAGCCCTTGGGCATCTCACTTCACCAGCACCTGGCCATGTGGAGTACAGGGCCTGCTTCTTTCCTTTCTCCCCTCATGTGGCCCTACCGGATTATCCATGGAGGTGCACCAAGGACCATGATAGACACCACGTTTTTCATGACAGCCAACAGTCTTTACAAGAACAATGACCATCACCATCAAGAGGTCTGTTTCCTTGTCTGGGTTCAAGTTAGATGTAGGCTGGTAGAGGGTCATTCCATGGGTTATGGTGGGAAGTAAAGGTTCACACAACAATCCTGACAGTAAAGAGTTTTCTGCTTTTGATTTTTAACTTGGAGCAATCTGAACTTTTTAGATGAGTCTTCTTCCCAAGGACCTGAAGCTTGAAGATGACTTATTGTGTTCAAACATATATTCTACAGAGAGCCAGACATAGTGGCTCACACCTGTAAACCCAGCTACTTGGGAGGTTGAGGCAGGAGGATCATGAGCTTGAGGCCAGCCTGGGCAATTTAGCAAGACTCTTTCTCAAAATTAACATTTTTAAAAAAGGGCTGGAAATTTAGGTCAGTGCTTGCCCAGCATATGTGAGGCCCTGTGTTTAAACCCCAGTACCACAATAAATAAATAATGTACATATAAATATTCTATTATAAATATTCTACATAGAATGGTGATGAACTATGTTTCACTGCCTACGGTTGAGAGAAAACTGATCAAGATGCTTATAAATAAATACTTAACTCAGTTTACAAATAATTACTGAGCCCCTATGTAATGATGATTTCTAACATTTTATTATCTATGAAACACTTCTATATACATTGTTTTATTTGCTCTTTACAATAACCCTGGGAGGTTAGGTAATGTTACCTTCAAGTTGACAAATAAGGATTTGAGGTAAATATACACGTTGTTGGGTCATCGACAGGACCAAATGCAGGAATTTGTACTATACTCCTCTGCCTCAGTGGTCTCTTGAGAGAAGATCTGAATGCAGCCCATACCCTCTGCCATCCAAGGAAGAGGGCAGGAACTGGTGGTGCAGTCTTGAGGCAGAATTTCTGCTTTCTTGGGGGAAGCCTCAGTTTTGTTCATAAAGACCTTCAACTGAGGGGCCTTCGCAGATTATGGAAGATAATCTCATTTATTTGAAGTCAACTGACGGTGTTAACAACATCTATAAAATATTTTCACAGCCACACCTAGAGAAGTGTTTAAGTTAAAAACTGGGGTATAATAGCCAAGTTGATACATAAAATTGACCATCACATAGGGGATACTGTTTTATAAATAAATACAGTCATTCTGTCAAAGATGAAACCTCTCCCCTGTGGGTAGAGCTACTTGATAGTAGGCAAACAGTAAAGTAGTTTCTGCAAAGTGGGTTCTCATCCCTGTGGGCAATTCACACCAGTTAGGATGTGGGAGAATCATGACCAGAAAATATGTGCTTATGTGTAGCAACAATGTTGCATAAAATTCCTGTGTGGGAAGACAACAGTAAAAGAAGAATCTGATTTTTTCCACAAGATGGGGAATTGGTGTGCCAAAATGTTGATGGAGTGATTCACGGTTTGAACATAATACAACACTGTCTGGGCTTGGCTCACAGCTCATCTTTCTTCTGTTACCGCTGACATCTCAGCCCTTGGAATAGGATCTGAGGACCCCACTCTGGTAGGGACACAGGCCACCCTGACAATTACCCATCTATATCTTAGAGACCAGCCCATGAGCTGCTCTCATTTACTCATCTCTTGTAGCCCAGTCACCTTGGGCCAGGTGATAAGACTTGAAGCAAAGGTCACTGGCACAGAAGGAGGAAAGGCATTTCTCTCTTGTGACGCCCAAAGCAGCAACAGGACCATCCTCTAGGCCACAGCTGCTGGTTAGGCCATTGGAATTCTCTTTTCCTGCTGTTTGTGCCCATCCATATTGGTGGGCACAGACGGTGGCTTCCCCCTTTGCTGAAGATTTCAGCCTTAAGGATGGAGATCATCACAAGATATCCACAGACCTCTCTGAGAGCACTAAGCTTAGAGAGGTTTATGAAAATGGCAGAATATCATGGTATATCCCCTTTCTACTCCTACTGGCTTCCAAAGGGTAAAGGTAGGCTTATTGCTTTGGCATCAAAAGTGAGAACTTAGACTCCAGGCAGGCAGAAGGACCTTGCTGGACTGGTTTCCCTGGAAGCATGGGGATGATTCACCTGTATTCTTTGCCTTTCCAGTAATTTTCTTCCATGAAAACTGACCCAGCTGCAAAGACTACAAGGCCCATCTCCCCTGCCCTTGCAGGGAGAAGAAAAAGGAACCAAACATTCTGCTGGAGTAGATTCTGTTGGTCCCATTCACTCCAGCTCCCATGTGTACTTTAGCCCTCACTCTGATGGCAGAAACTTCTCCAGGTGTCAAACTTTGCTGTGAATAAAATTTTAAGAAGAGTTCCTGTGCTCAAACTTACACTTGTATATGTCTTCCTGGATAGAGGGTGTCTACAATCCCTGGAATGGGAAAGCATCACGTGACCTGAACATCTAACCCAGAAAGCAAAAGCCACATTGGGTTTTCAAAGGGAGGGGGCTGGGGTGTATAGCTCATTGTAAGAGCCCCCCTGAGCTAATTTCTCTCTCCCTCTCAACCCTCCTTCAACAGGCCCAAGCAGGAACAGCGGTAATTCTATGAGCTTCCACAAGGTGGCACTAAAGACACGCTCACCAGGGGCGTGACCCAGCGAAGCACCCGGAAGGGAAATCTTTCCGCCCATGCCTTTCCATTGGGTTCGCCTGGCTTTCTCTTCCCCGATACACGTAGGACGGTGCTCCTCTAGCGCTGCCGACTTCGGCTGGGCGTGATGGGTAAGGTAGGCTGGAGAGCCGAGTCACGCAGCCTGCGGAGCTAATGAAGAAGGGCTAGTAGCTTCCGCGCAAGGTCCGGGCGTGGACGTAGCTGGGACGCGCAGGCCAGCCAGGTGCTGGGAGCTCGGGGCTCCTTCTTCCGGAGACCCCGACGCGTTGCCCGGTTACCGCGTCGTCTCATCTCCCTTCCACAGTCTCCAGGGCCGGGCCTCGCGGCCGCCGAGGCACCCGGCCCCGAGCTCTCGCTGTTCGCCTCTCCAATGAATCAGAAGGTGCGCGCAGCGCTGCTGCCTCCCCAAGATGTCGGAGACAAGGTGGAGACACTTATGGTGAGGAGCCTGCGAGGAGGGAAGGAAGGGGTTCCGAGGCCGCCAGCTCGGGCGGATTCGAGGCTCTAGGGGGACCCTCGGCACAGTCAGATAGCGCGCAGGATTGGGACGTGGCCGGAGTGTTAAAGTTGGGCTGTGGGATTAACGCAAGGCGGGACGGGAGGAGCTGCCGCCCAAACCCTGGGACGGGCTGGGTTGACGTCTGGGGACAGCTGCGGTATTGCAGCGGCCGGGACGAGGTGTCGGGGAGTGTGCCCGCGCGGGCCCAGCACCGTGCGCGCTACCAGAAGTTGTTCCGAGTGCGAGTCCTGGAGCGATAGATGGGAGGGCAGCCGGGCAGAGCTTTGAACCATAGCAAGGCCAGGGATCGCGCCAAGCCTGAGGAGCCGTAGTAGCCGGAGCGAGCCGTCCCAGGGTTGTCCAGGAAGCCAGTGGGCCACCGCTTAGGCTCCTCCGGGGCGCAGCCTCTTGACCAGCAGTGGCAGGCGGATTCGCGGGCGCCAAAGACGCCACGCCCCTTGCGGTCCGTACTGGCTGCAGCCTGCGAGCCGCCCAGCCGCCATTGGTGGAGGCGGAGGTGTTGGTGGGCGAGGCCGGCGGCCCCCCAGGGTGTTGTCTCCTAATCCTCGCCGGTGATTGGTGAAGGCGGGGGTGTGGCTATGCTGGGGGCGGGCCCTAGGAATTGGGCAGCTAGCTAGATGAGGTGGCTAGCTTTTTTGTTTTTTTAAAAAAGTTTAAACGCAGCCGCAGCAGCTATACGTTCATGATTTTGAAAATCTGCTTACCTTTTTCTACCCCTCCAGCCTTCGCCTTCAGATCTGAATTGGATTTAGGATATTTTTTGTAGAATAAAAATTATTTGTGGAATCATTTTGCAAACTGTTATTGTTACCTTTGTGTTTGTATTCTTTTCTCTTTTATTTGCCCTACCCTTCTCACACCGAAAAAAGAAAGAAATTATTCATCTTATTTTCCATGAATAATTAGCAGTTTTTAAAAATTAAGTCTATTCTTGAAGGCTGGAGGTGTAGATCAGTGGTACAGCACATATTTAGCATGGGCAAGGCCACCAGAAAGGGGGGAGGGGAAGGGAAAGAGAGGGAGGGAAAGAAAGAGGGAGGGAGGGAAGAAAGAAAAGTCCACTCGCAAATGGTGTGCTATCTACCATTGACAAAATGTTAATTACCTGCCTTTTTTAGTTTACCTACTAGATGATAATCGATACTTCTGGCATATATATATTTAGCATCTAGTCTGTGTTCAAAGACCTGAAAAATTATATATATTATGGGCTTTATTAGTTTATTCAACAAATATTGAGTCAATAATATTTCCAATCTGTGCTGTGAAAAATAAAGATATTAAAAAGATAGTTTTTGTCATCCGAGTCCAGAGGTGAAGGATTTCAGCCTTGAAACAAATTAAGTGCAATACCAGAGGGAGCCTTGGGGAAGCAGCACCAAGATAACTGCTGGAGGGAGAAGGGCTGGAGAAGGGCTGGAAGGAGCTGAGGAGGATTAACCTGTCCTGGGATGAGGCACCCTGAGCCCACTGAACTTTATCCTATGGATGTGTGCTCAAGGGATAGGCTTTGAGCATGTCACATTTTCTATTATGTGACAAGAGCCTTTCATTTATCACTGTTGAACACCTATTGTGCCCAGTTATTGAGATACCACCATGAAGAAGACAAGATAGGAGTTACCATATCTTTTGTCATGGACCCTTAGTTATAAAGGAGATGGGCATGGGTGCTGCTGCAGGAATCCTGGGGAGGGGGCATTGAACCCAGAAGCAGGGGAGTTAGGGAGCAGTAGATGAATTAGGGCAGAGAGACAATACCTCAGTTTTCTGGGGTGAGGGGAAGGTAATAGGCCTCCATTATGGCAGAGGAATTGTATTTGAGAGAGAGTGAGAGCAAGCACAAAAATGATAAAGAAGGAGCTGCATGATTCATGAAGACTTTGCAGCCCGCAGTTTGGACTTTATCCTGAGAGGAATGTAGAGCAATAAAAGGGTGTTGACTTTTAAATTTTTTTTTATTTCAATAAGTACTAATGACTAATATTCTTTCTTTTTTAGTTCTAAAGATTAAGCCCAGGGGTGCTCTACCACTCCAAATCCCTAGCCATTTTTATATTTTATTTTGAGACACAGGCTCTTGCTGATTTGCTCAGGCTGGGACTATAGGCATGTGCCACCATGCCCAGGGATACTTTGTAGTTTCTAACACATTTATTGGTACTTATATTTTCAACACATTTATTCTTTTTTAAGTTGATAACTTTTTTAAAATATTTATTTTTAGTTGTAGTTGGACACAATACCTTTATGTTATTTATTTATTTTTATGAGGTGCTGAGGATCGAACCCAGGGCCTCGGACGTGCTAGGCCAGCGCTCTACTGCTGAGCCACAACCCCAGCCTCTTAAGTTGATAACTTAAAATTGTATAAAACATTAACTCTTTCATTGAAGGGTTTTATACCAAAAAGCACTATGGTTAGATCTGCAGTTTTGAAAGATGACTCTGGCTGCAGGGTAGAGTGTGAGTTAACCTGTCAAAGAGATGAAGTGAAGAGATGATGTATCCTGACTCAGGATGGATACAAGACATAAATTTGAGCGCTGTTCAGGAGGTGAATGAGCAAGTGTGGAGTGTGGATGGTGCTTGGGTTTTTGGCCCAGGAAGCTGGGTAGATAAATGGCAGTGCATTCACTGGGATGGGGCATCCTAGAGGAGGAGCAAGTTGAAGGTGAGGGGTGGGGATCGTTCATATTTGGAAATATCATCAGAGGTGTGTGGGGGACATCTGAGCAAGTGACTGTGTGGGCCTGAATCTCCTGAGGGAGATGGTAAGTGAAGCCATGGGAGGGGTGTGGAAGCATGGTTCCAGGGGAAATAAAGGAGATCCTCATTTAAGAGAGTGTCCTGAGAAGTGGGAGGAAACCATGGACACTGTTAATACCTGAAGCCCCCCAAAAAAGCATTTCAAGAGGAAATGAGTAGTGGTCAGCAGTGGTGTGTGAGTGAGCAGCCTGAATATCCTAGATTTTCACTTCAGTGGAGCATGAATTTTGAGTTTTGATCAATGGCTTCAACACCTCTGACCTAGGACACATTCACAACCTCTGTGAGCTTCAGTTTGGTCTGTAAAATGGATTTAAATAGCTCCTGGGGTTGTGAGATTTACCCAGTGCTACTCTGGGAGTGGCCTGGAGGATGACTTTGCACCCTTGAGACTAGAGACTGTCAAGGAGGCCAAAAGGATGGATACATGGGGGTATATAAGGAGTTAGCACCAAAATGGAGTAACTTATGTCAAAATGAAACTAAACGGAGCCAGCAGGGTCCTCGTGCCTATTTGCCTGATAGCAAGAACGATCACGAGAGACTTTGCCAAATCTAACCACAATCTTGCAAGTAGCTTTGTTAAACACAACTTTGTTAAGGTAAATTCAATGAAGACAAATTCCTAGTAACAGCCAATACTGCCAATCAGCTAATGAAGCTCCTGCAGTGAACTCTGTGACCAGTGATTCTTTTTTTTTAATGATTTTATTATTATTTTTTAAAATACTAGTGATTCTTGTTTAAAACACTTTACATGGTGGACTTCCTTCTACCTTAAAATTTTTCTCTTTGCAATAACCTCCTCCAATGGGCGTATGATCCATCATAGCACACAGATTGCAGATTTGCAAATCCCCTACTCATTCCTGAATAAACTATTTCTTTTTTTCTTTTTTCTTTTTTTAATGCAGTTCTGGGTATTGAATTGAGGTCCTTGCCCATGGTAGGGAAGCACTTTACCACTGAACTATATCCCCAGCCATTTTTATTTTATTTTTGATACAGGATCTCACTAAACTGCCTTGGCTAGCCCTGAGATTCTCCTGCCTCAGCCTCCCAAGTAGCTGGAGTTATAGGTGTGTACCAACAAACTCAGTATTCTTAGAGTCCTTCTAGATTGACAGGGGGCAGACTGGGAAGACCAAGGGATCAGCCAGCAGGACATGGTCATGAAGCTGCAGGCAGAGAAAGCCTTCATGTCTTCTGGGTTTCCAGCCTGATACCTGAAGTATCCCAATATGGATCAGAGGAGAAACAGGTGTGTGTGTGTAGAACTGTTGACCAAGTTTCCATTTTGCATCTGTTGAGTTTGAGACTCTTATGAGACTGAAGGAGGAGGTGTTGAGTTAGTGGGGCCAGAGATGTGGGCGTTACTAGCATGTGTGTGAAGTTGCCCTGAGAAGGCTGCAGACAGAGGAGATAAGAGGAGCAGCAACATCTAAGTGGCAGGTCAAGGAAAAGGAGACTTTGAAGGGGAGCCAGAAACAAAGAGAAAGAAAAACCAAGACTGAGAGGAGAGGCAATCATCTGTATCAGATGCATCAGAGAATCCAGGTAAGATAAAGACAGGGACAGGACACGAAAGAATATGCACGTCCTTGGTGAGCCCTCAGAACCACTCTAGTGAAGGATATTTAGCTAGATGGCACACTGAGCGCCCAAGGAGTGACTGGCAAAGTGTGAGTTAAGCTGATATAGGGATCGATCTGGAAAGACGGTTTTGGAGCATCAGGCAGAGAAGAGAAGCCAACAATGGAAGGCAAAGGCCCAGTGTGTGAAGCAGCAGCACTCCTTGATGCTGCAAAGTCTCAGGTAAGGCTGAGAAACACAGATCTCCTGGGATATTGGTTAGCAGAAAAGGAAGACATCTCTGGGCAAGCGGGAGTTGGGCCCATACAGACAAAATGTACACCTTTGCCAGGCATCGTGGTACATATATCTGGAATCCCAGCAGCTAAGGAGACTGAGACAGGAGGATTATGAGTTCAGAGCCAGCCCCAGCAACTTAGTGAGACCTCAAGCAATACAACAAGACCCTGTCTCTAAATAAACATAAAAAAGCCTGGGTATGTGGCTGAGTGGTTAAGCACTCCTGGGTTCAATCCCCAGTACAAAATATAGATATCTTTGTTTGATTTTACCTATTGTCTTATCAAAACACCTGCTGTCATTTCAGGGCTATTGGAACGTGGTTGTAAACTCCAGCCTTTAATTTCTGAATTTATTTAGTCCTTCCAAGTGGTTTTCTAAGTCATTGCAGTTGTAACTTGCTCATGCTGGCACTTGGGATGATCTGTCTTTTCTGTTTATATATATATGGTTTGTTTTTTTCTGTGAAACAAGTACTACATATTAGACATTTCAGTTCCTGTAAGTGATTATGTGATATGTATAATGGCAAACTGTATTTATCTTAATAGTATTTTAGGGCTACAGTAGTATAAGTGCTACTAAATGAGGGAAAAGGTCTTTTTTAGATGGAATTTGCCAAGTGTCTTCTTTAGAAAAGAGGGTTTTTTTTTTTTTTTTTTTTTTTTTTAAGTGTGTTTTCACTATCATTTGTGCTGCTGGGTTCTGGGGCCCTGGAAAGAAAACACAGCGTCATACTAGCACCAGTGCTAGGAGCTGAGGCTCCTGGGCTGTGCTTGAGGGAGGTACGTTTAGTCTTTGAAGGAGTTATACTCCTCCAGATGCTGCCTATAGATAATCCAGTGTGTGAGACAGTGCCAGGGCTGAAGTAGAGGCAACAAACCTAGGAGTGCCTACTGGTCTATAGAGCCATCTGTCACCTCTGTAGGTCCCAGTGAGATGGGTGGGTAGAAGAAAGGGAAAGTTTTAAATGAAGGAAATTCATAGATTATACCAGAAATGGAACTTCTTATACATTGTGACTAAGCTTCAGGTTTCATTTGTTTTTGACCTGATTATATAGTATATTATAGGATGTACAGCCAAGGGAGCCTGGAAACCAAAGTTTAGAGTTAAACTCAATTGAGTTTGCTTTTCCAAAGACAAAGAGATATGTGTAATTTTTCAAGTAGGACAAAGTGTGGTTAAGTGTGGACAGTGCATGGAAATAGACATGTTGCTCAGTCTGTTTGCTCAGGGAGTAAAATTATTAGCAACACTAAGACCATAGGAATAGCTCTTGTAGGGCACAATATCCTCAGCAACATTCCTGTGTTATGAATTTGCGGCCATGTGTTTCTCTTATCTAATATATAAAGATGAGGCACCAGCCTGGAGTTACTGGCCCAGCCGTGGAGAAAGGTGCATAATGTGCTAGCAGAGCTGCTGACACAATGCTGTCTTGTTCTGCAGTTACATCCAGTGATCAAGGCTTTCCTGTGTGGCTCTATCAGTGGGACCTGCTCTACCCTCCTTTTCCAGCCCCTGGATCTCCTTAAAACACGCCTGCAGACTCTCCAGCCCTCAGACCACGGGTAGGGCCTGCTGCTCCACATTTCACTGAGGAACTCGGCTCCATTTCTCAGGCACTGGATCATCTTTCCAGTTAAATCAACCTCCATTCTGTTGGATGCTCAAGGAGAAGCACAAGCTGTGTCCAACTGCTGTGTTTCGTATATAGTGTTTTCAGTGAATATATATTTTTTTATATTTGATGTTTCTTGTTCATTAAGTGGGATTCTTTCCTGTGCAGCTCCAGAGAATCTGCCTCAGTGATATTTGCATTTTATTGTGCTAGCTCGTGATCATAACTGTACTGCTTGATAGGGGGTGGTTTTCTACAAATAACATCAGTTGTGTCTGTTTTGTGCTATATGGAGCTCAGCACTATGGGAAATATATAAAGTGTATTTAAAATGGGAGGTTATTCCATCTGTGAATGGACAGATGAACATTTGTCAAACCAGGAACACGTGGGAAGTCCAGAGTAATTCTACGATGCATTGTAGGGATTCCTAAGTGCTTTAGGAAAGAGTAAATACAAAATCTTTGAGTGGAGATTTTTTTTTATAAGGAAGTGATTTAAGTGACTTTTCCTCTTCTTTTGTCTGCCCTCAGGTCCAGACGTGTTGGCATGTTGGCTGTATTCTTGAAGGTGGTTCGCACTGAGAGTCTTTGGGGCCTTTGGAAAGGGATGTCCCCTGTAAGCCACCTTCTGGGTCTGGGTTCTCTTGCAGTACTTTACTTTGATAACCAGTCATGTCTCATGTACCTCACCAGCTCCTTAGGAAGTGATGGGAGTATAGTGGTTTCCCCTTATCTGTGGTTTTACATTCTGTGGGTTCAGTCAATCCCAATCCAAAAATATTAAATTCCAGAGGGGAACAATTTATGAATTTTAAATTGTGCACTGTTCTGAGTAGTGTGATGAAATATCACACTGTTCACTGCCCAGCCCTATAGGTGAATCACCCATTTTTATAGTCACTTAGTAGCTATGTCAGGAATCAGATTGACTGTTGGGGAATCAGTGCTTATGTTTAAGTAACCCTATGTGCTTAATAATGGCCCCCAAATGCAAGAGCAATGATGCTAGCAATTAGGATATGCCAATGAGAAGCTGTAAAGTTCTTCCTTTAAGTGAAAAGGTAAAAGTTCTTGAGTTAGGGGCTGGGGTTGTGGCTCAGTGGTAGAGCACTCGCCTGGCACGTGCAAAGCCCTGGGTTCGATCCTCAGCACCACATAAAAATAAACAAAATAAAGATATTGTGTCCAACTACACAATGTTAAAAAAAAAAATTAAAAAAAAAAAAAAAGTTCTTGAGTTAATAAGCAAAGAAAAAAAAAGCGTATGCTGAGGTTGCTAATAGCTATGGCAAAAGTGAATATTCTATCTGTGAAGTTGTGAAGAAGGAAAAAAATTCATTCTAGTTTTGCTGTCACACTTCAAACTGCAAAGTTACAGACACAGTGTGTGAGAAGTACTTAGTGCAGATTGAAAAGGCATTAAATTTGTGAGTGGAAGATATGAAAAAAAAACATGCTCTAATTGATAACAGTATGTTGCACCAGAACGCACTGAACCTAGAGGAAGACTTCGGCAAAGTGTCCCCTGTGATGAATGATAGCAAGCCATTTACTGAAAGTAAGAGGTGGTTACATGGATTTAGAGATAGGTTTGGACTGAAAAATGTAAGACTTACCCGAGAGGTTGTATCTGCTGATGAAATTGCTGCCACATTTCTGGCAGAGTTGAAGAAGTTCATTAAGGAAAAAGCAAGTCTTCAATTTGATGAAGCCAGGCTCTCCTATAAGAAGTTGATCTGTATTCATGAAAGTGTAGAAGAGGCACCATGGCATAAATCATGGAAGGATGTGCTTGATGGGGTGGAAGAACATATTGAAGGCCATGAAGATGTGTTAACAAATGAGGAATTGGAAACACTTGTTGAGTCATGAACAGAGGAAGAAGAAGAGGAAGAAACTGAAGCAGAGCCAACAACATGGATATTATTAAAATTTGGTGAAGTGTTTTGAATTGCACAGACATTAAAGGACAAAATTATGGAGAGAACACAGCATTAAAGTCACCCAGATCATCACCAAGAGATGACGGCCACTGAAGCAACACTTGGATGAGTGAGAAAGAGATAACTCTTGAATACAGTGTTCTTCCAAAAGATTTTGGCAAAAAGCCCTTCAACTATCAAAGCTCCCCAACCATTGATATCATCTGCTTCTGACATTCAGCCATCGAGGTTGGTGGCTCTATGATCCTCCTTCTGACCTATTGTCAGAACGCCAGTAGTAGCCTCATACTGTTTCATTCATCTCACTTCATCTCACGAGGTAGGCGTTGTCATCTATTACCACAAGAAGAAGGGTGAGTACTGTGTAAGCTGTATTGAGGGGGTGGGGGGAGAGAGAGACAGACCACAGTCATATAATTTTTATTACAGTATTATAATTGTATTTTTATTAATTACTGTGTCTAATTTATAAATGAAGCTTTATCATAGTTATGTATATACAATATAGGAAAAAACATACTGTTTGTAGAGTTTGGTACTATCCACTATTTCAGGCATCCACTGGGAGTCTTAGAACATATCCTCCACAGATAAGAGGGGACTACTGCACTTCCCACCCATCTCTTGTACTGTCACTAACTTCTGTTTGAGGGCTCAAGGAAATATTGCACCTGTATACCTTGGGTATGATTTGTTAGTGTAGCACAGTCTGCAGCAGAAATAGATGACCCACCTCCTCCCTCTGCCTGCCTTTCAGTGTATTCTTGCCCCTTACCACTTCATTGAAAGTGGGCTGGAACCTCACACCTGTATTTCTTTCCCTAATGGCTTTTACTAGCCCTAAGGACTTACTTTGCTAGGATTGCCAAGGTGTTAATACTTACCCCAACCCACACAGTCCTCAACCACTGAATAATGGGTTGATGTTTAAACTTCACCATCTCCCCTCCGATGGAGGACTAATTCTGAGGTGTGTTCTTCACTGGTTCCCAGAGTTCCCCAAAAGGACTGAGTTGCCCACAGCTGTAACTGCTTTTGTAGTTCATCCTTTATTAGCTGCCATCTCTCCTGTCTCTCTTATCCACTTCCTGTTGGTGTTTTCTCTGCACCTTCAATAAACTACTTGCATGCAAATCATCTTGGGGTCTTCTGGGGAAACCCAGCTAAGACAGTATCTAATGGTGTTGGCTCTTTGATTTCATTGTTCTTCCCTCTGGCCTTTTCTGCAGTCCATCGTGAGATGTGTCCCTGGTGTTGGAATTTACTTTGGCACTCTCTACTCTTTGAAGCAGTATTTCTTGCGAGGCCATCCCCCTACTCCCCTGGAATCGATCATGCTGGGTATGAGCTCTCGCTCTGTTGCAGGGGTCTGCATGTCACCTATCACAGTGATCAAGACACGCTATGAGGTGAGTTTGATAGCTCTAGCACTTCAGGGTTGGTACACAGAGCCACTGGGTTCTTGGGAAGTGACTAGTGTCAACTCTTGATTTATAGTCCAACTTGGAGTTGGATGTGGTCACAGAACTCATTTGTGTAGGCAGGCCAAGCCATGTGTGAGCTAGAGCCCATTAGTGCCTTGGTGACGCTGAATAACCTGAAAAGTCAGCTGGGGTCACTGCTCCAGTGCAAGACCTCTATATCTGTCACTGGATCTGTGCTCCCTTTGCAGAGTGGAAAATACGGCTATGAGAGCATCTACGCAGCTCTGAGAAGCATCTACCGCAGTGAGGGACACCGAGGCCTGTTCAGCGGCCTGTCAGCAACTCTCCTTCGTGATGCACCCTTTTCAGGAATTTACCTGATGTTTTACAGCCAGACCAAAGGCCTAGTGCTCCATGGTAAGGATAAAGGAAGGTGTGGTGGAAAAGAGGTATCCCTGAGACATTGGGTTCTTGCTGTTTTATTTGTTTCTTTTGTTATTCTGTTTGTTATTCTTACCAGTTTTAGGATCTGAGCCATACTAAGATTGTGTCCAGTTTGGGGCTGAGTGCTGGGCCACAAAGGTGGGTGTGACAGACTTGGCCATTGCCCTTTGGAGTTTGTATGCTCTTCAATCAAAGAGTACTGATGCTACTATAATTTGGCAGATTGGGGTGGACTGGGTAAGGAATAACATGTGTTTTGCAGAGGTTCTGTAATAGTACATCCCAAAACAATACATTGTAAAATTCCTGTGTCCCATCCAAGGCCTCCTAGATGAGAAACTTTGGGGTACAAACCTGTGAGGTGTATCTTTTTAGAAGACTTATTGTGATTCAAGTTTGAAGGAAAAAAAAAAATATTTTCATCCTTGCTGTGTTTCTAGTTAATGTTGTTTTGAGCCTTCCCTTTGGGTAGAGGTAAAGCTGCCAAATCTGAGTTTCAGTTAGGCCCACCTCACCAGTAAGCTTATATTGGACTAGATGTGGGTGAAATCTGTAAGTTGTAAACATCCACCCAAGCAGAGCAAGATGTAGAAAGTTGTTCTGTAGAATGCACCTGCATTCAATAAAGTATCTGTGGCTAATTAGGGAAACTGGAATGCCTACCATCCAGACTGGTGATCTGCTGCAGTTAGAATGCTTTGGGAGATTAGCTGTCTCTCCCCAAGCCGCAGGAGGTGTGACCCTGCAGGTCACAGCTTTATTTTATAACAGAAAATTAAGGCAATAAAGCATGGAAGTGAATTTTTGTTTGTGCGAGGGATTGAACCCAGGGCCTTGTGCTTGTACTCTATCACTGAGCTACATCCATAGTCCCTGGAAGTGTATTTCCCCCCCTTTTTATTGGCACATTATAATTATACATATCAGCAGAATTTGTTATATATTCATACATGCACACAATAAAACAGTATAATTTGATCAATTTTATTCTCCAGTATCTCCCCTTCCTCCCTCCCCTGTTCCCCTTCTACTATTCTACTGGTCTCCCTTCTATTTTTTTTAAATTTGTTTTAATTAGTTATACATGACAGTAGAATGCATTTTGACACATTTTACACAAATGGAGCACAACTTTTCATTTCTCTGGCTGTACTTGGTGCAGAGTCACACCCGTGGTGTAATCATACATGTATATAGGGTAAAATGTCTGTCACATTCTACCTTTCTTCACATCCCTCCCTCCTCTTAATCCTCTCTGCACAATCCAAAGTTCCTTTATTCTTCTGCTATTACCACTACGGATCAGCATCTGCTTATCAGAATACATTTGGTCTTTGTTTTTTGGGGATTAGTTCATTTCACTTAGCATGATGTTCTATAGTTCCATCCATTTACCTACAAATGCCATAATTTCATTTTTCTTTAAGGCTGAGCAATATTCCATTGTGTATGTGTACCACATATTCTTTATCTATTCATCTGTTGAAGGGCACCTAGGTTGGTTCCATAGTTTAGCAATTGTGAATTGAGCTCCTATGAACATTGATGTGACTGCATTACTGTAGTATGCTGACTTTAAGTCCTTTGGGTATAGACTGAGGAGTGGGATAGTGGGTCAAATGGTGGTTCCAATCCAAGTTTTCTGAGGAATATCCATATTGCTTTCCAAAGTGGTTGCATCAATTTTCAGTCCCATCGGCAATGTGTGAGTGTGCCTTTTCCCCCATATCCTTGCCAACACTCTTTATTGCTTGTATTCTTGATAATTGCCTTTCTGACTGGAGTTTTGATTTGCTTTTCTCTAATTGCTAGAGATGATGAATATTTTTCTATATGTTTGTTGATTGATTATATTTCTTCTGTTAAGTGCTTGTTCAGTTCCTTAGCCTATTTATTGATTGGGTTGTTTGTTTTTTTGGTGTTATGTTTTTTGAGTTCTTTATATATCCTGGAGATTAGTGCTCTATCCAAGGTGCTTGTGGTAAAGATTTTTTCCCATTCTATAGGTTCTCTCTTCACATTATTGATTATTTCCTTTGCTAAGAAGAAACTCTTTAGTTTGAATATATCCCATTTATTGATTCTTAATTTTATTTCTTGTACTTTAGGAGTCTTGTTAAGGAAGTAAGCTAAGCTGATATGATGAAGATTTGGGCCTACTTTTTCTTCTATGAGGTACAGGTCTCTGTGCCTAAGTCTTGGATCCAATTTGAGTTGATTTTTTGTACAGGATGAGAGAGTTTTATTTCATTTTGTTACACATGGATTTCCAGTTTTCCCAGAACCATTTGTTAGATAAACTGTCTTTTCTCCACTGTATGTTTTTGGTGCCTTTGTCTAGTATGAGGTAGCTGTATTTATGAGGGTTTGTCTCTGTGTCTTCTATTTTGCATTGGTCTACATGTCTATTTTGGTGCCAATATCACGCCTGGAAGTGTATTTTTTAATTTTCAATCCATCTTAAAATTTTTTAAATTGGGTATTTAGAAATAATGTTAAACCTATGAGAAAGGCCACAAGAACAATACAATATATAAATCTGTAAATCTTTTGAGAGTAAGTTGTAGACATGACTCATCTTTACCCTTAAATATCTCAGTGTGTATTTCCTAAGAACAAGGACAGGCCCTCATGTAACCATCTATTTTTTCAAATTCAAGAAGTTTAATACAGGTAAAATTCTTGAACACATAGTCCATATTCTGATTTCTCTAATCATTCCAGTAGTGTACTTTGTAGTAATTTTTATTTCCAAGAATAGAGGCCAGTTGGTATACCTAAATTTGGGTTTATATAGTGTGTTTTTTCAGTGATTAGATTTAGTTATTTATTTTTAGCAAGTGGACCAAGAATATGATACAGTTTTTATATCAGGAGGCACATGACATTGTGCTTGATCCATTATGGATAACTTGTATCACTTGGATATTAGTTACACCTTTTTCTTTTTAATATTTTTTAGTTGTTGGTGAGCCTTTATTTTATTTATTTTTATATGGTGCTAAGAATCAAACCCAGTGCCTCACACATGCTAGGCAAGCGCTCTTCCACTGAGCTACAACCCAAGCCCATTAGTTGCACCTTCAAATATTTAATCCTTAAACTTGTTTGAATCTACATCTTTCTGAATTTTGGGAAGAATGAAGGGACAACTTACACTGAGTTTTATCTGATAAATCTGATAAGTATGAGATATGTAATTCCATGTTATGTGTGTTCTCTTTCAGACCAGTTGGATGCAGTCTTTATTCCTGTCATAAATTTCAGCTGTGGGATATTTGCTGGTATTCTGGCCTCCCTGGTAACTCAACCTGCAGATGTTATCAAGACCCACATGCAGCTCTCCCCAGTGAAGTTTCGGTGGATAGGCCAAGCAGTAACTATCATTTTCAAAGTAAGACCATAGAATGAGTATAGTTTCTTGTAGTGGATAAGGATCTCTCTCTAAAGCAGTAGTTCTTGTCCTTCATTCATTTGGAATCATTTGAGAAGCTTTTAGAAATCTGCATTCCCATGTCAAAATCTAGGCCAAAGATATCAGCGATCTGGTGGAAGGGCAGTATCAGAACTATTTTTTTAGGGGCTTGGGGTGTAGCTCAGTAGTAGAGCATGTGCTTAGCATGTATAAGACTGTGGGCTCAACTCCAGCACCAAAAGAAAAAAAAATCAGAAAAGTTTTGTTTAAAGGTCCCAGTAATCCCAGTGTGCTGCCAAGGTTGAGAACCATAAAAGCTTATGTGTTTTTGTTTTTGTTTTGAGGGGAGGGGCACCTATATTAGGATCCCCTGTTCATCAACATGCAGATTGTTTGACTATAGCCCAGATCTGCTGAACAGGACGTCTGGGTGGTCTCAGTACTCTAATTAAGGACATAGGAAAAAAGATAGTCAGAAAAGAAGCATACATATTATGTTCTAGCTGTTTGGTCTAATACAAATGGTACTGAAAATAAAATGTTATAAAAGATATAAAAGGCACTAAAGCACTATTTAAAAACCAGTGGATTGGCCGTTTTGGAACACAGTACTGTTATCACACACCAGATATTCCTGTTAAAAATAAATGTGAATTTGTGACTCTAATACTGCTCATACCATTTAGGCTGTCTGCTTTCTTATTCTCTGTACATAAAGTCATGAAGTACAACAATAATATATTTTTAAATATATGTGAAATTGCAAATCATTTCAGGTTATGAGGGAGAAAGAAGAGGTGTTTTGCTAAGTGCAGAGGTACATGCCTCCCAGCGGTTTAGGAGGCTAAGGCAGGAGGATCAGGAGTTCAAAGCCAGACTCAGCAAAAGCAAGGCACTAAGCAATTCAGTGAGACCCTGTCTCTAAATAAAATACAAAATAGGGATGGGGATGTGGCTCAGTGGTTGAGTGCCCCTGAGTTCAGTCCCTGTTACCCCCTAAAAAAAATGAAGAGGTGTTTTGCCTTTAATTCTTATACAGATAGGGCTACCAGGAGCACACAGTGAATTACACAAAAAGTACTCCCTCCTGATAGACAAATGCTAAGAAGCCTACTCTTCCTTCAGCCTGTATCCAGGATCCAGGTTTGGCAAACAAACCTTGGCATGGATTTCATCTGCTACTTGGGGCTCAGTGCTTCTGTGTAGTGTACAGACTATACAACTATACACAATAATCTTGCATGATGTAGGGGGCCTGTGAGTGTTGCTCATGGTAGAGAGCATGCTTAACATGAACAAGTCTGGATTCAGTACCTAGCACCCCTCACTCAAAAACATAAAACAAAAAGATTTTTAAGAAATTCTCTTAGATAGAACAGGCTTAAAGCCTAGCAGGTATGCAAAATGATTTTTTTTTCTTCTTCTGTTACCAGGGATTAAATCTAGGGCTGCTCCATGCTGAGCTACATCCCTAGCCCTTTTTATTTTTTATTTGGGGACAGGATCTTGCCAAGTTGTTGAGGCTGGCCTTGATATGCATCTTTCTGCCTCAGTCTCCTGAATTGCTGGAATTACAGGCATGCACCATCACAGCTGGTCAAAAAACATTTTTTAAAGTTCATTAGTTATCTTTTTTTTCCTTTTGTGGTGGTAGTGGAGTACCGGGGATTGAATACAGGGGCACTCAACCACTGAGGCACATCCCCAGCCCTATTTTGTATTTTATTTAGAGTCAGTATCTCACTGAATTGCTTAGTACCTCGCTTTTGCTGAGGCTGGCTTTGAACTCGTGATCCTCTTGCCTCAGCCTCTTAAGCCACTAGGATTACAGGTGTGTACCACCGGGTCTTATTCATAGATATGGCATATACTTTAGAAACTAAGACTCAGAAACAAGGTAACAGAGACTCTCTGGTGCCAGATGGATAGTTAATTATATTACTACTTTATTTCTGGAGTTTTGACATTTATTTTCATCATAGGACCATGGGTTGCGTGGCTTCTTTCAAGGCAGTGTCCCCCGGGCCCTCCGCAGAACTCTGATGGCAGCAATGGCATGGACGATCTATGAAGAGATGATGGCCAAAATGGGCCTAAAGTCCTGATAAGAGAGGACCAGGAAAGGGTGGAATCTGCTGTCCTGCTTTGTTCCTGTCAAGCACTGCTTTATCTCAGCATCTGGAGTCTGGTGAAGTCCTACCTGGAAAGCCAGGAAGAAACATGTTTGCCTTCAGTCCCCCATTGAAGGAGACCTGCCTGGAGGCTTCAGATTCCCAGAAAAGGAGTCACCAATGCACAACACAGCCCACTAAAAAGTTGGGACAGAGGTTCGTATATCCTGCAAACTACTTGAAAGACATTTCCAGAGAGATGTCTGCCAGGTGGTTCTGCTTTAGCCACCTGCCTACACTACAGCTCCTTGAGCATGTGCCGGGGCAAGGAGTCATAATCCGGAGAAGCTGTAGGCCTCCTTCCATGTCTAAGGAGCTCTACATGGGGAAGACTAGATCTGAGAAGAGACATAGTGATGTCTACCAGGTGAAGACTGTCTGAAGTATACCAGGTGTAAGAAGAAAATATTTCATTTATTTGGTTCCTAATCATCTTCTCAGAGGCTCTGGAGAATGGGGATAGTAACTTCCTAGTCTCTAAACATCCAAAGAAAAATTTTTGGTGTTGGCCCCCGTACTGTTTCAACTGTAAGCTGTTCTGGCCTTTTTCCACAACTAAAGTTTGGATTAATAAAGTAATATTCTTTATCTTTGAAAGCTGTTTGTAAAATTTAAATAGTATATTTATCATTCTGTTTGAAAATAATAAATTAGTTCTAGGGTGGTTGTTAACTTATATAGCTCATTAAAACCTAATTTTTAAAAAATAACCTTGTTTTACATATTATACAATTCATCCATTTCAAGTATACAATTCAGTGATTTTCAGTAACTTTACTGAATGGTGTAGCCATCACCATAAATTAGTTGTGAACATTTTCATTCCCTAGTAAGATCTCTCATACATTATAATTAGTCTTCATTTCCATCCCCAGCCTACCACTCATCTACTTTCTGTCTATAAATTCACCTTTTCTGGACGCTTCATATAATAATAAATAATGAAGTCTGTTGTATTTAGCTTCTTTCCACTTAGTATGTTTTTTGAGGTTGATTCATGGTGTGACATGTTTGATTCTTTATTCTTTTTTATGCCCAAATAACATTCTATTGTATGCATGTATGGTTGACCTACAGTGTACATGGAGATTTTATGCAGGCCCTCCCATGGATGGTCAACTTCCTTATATAGGATGGCATAATATTTGCATATAACCTACATCATCTTCCCTTATATTTTAAATCATCTCCAAATTACTCATAATTTATTTCAAATGTAATGTAAATACTTTGGAACTAGTTGACACACTGCATTGTTCAAGGAATAATGACAAGAAGAGTGTATACATGTTCAGTACAAATATAAGTTTTTTTTGTTTTAACCTTTTTAATCACATTTTAGTTGAGTTTACACACATGTAACTCTAGGACCAGCCAGGCAACTGTGCTTTATTAATCCATTCTTGAATTGATGAATGTTTGGGTTAATTTCACTTTGAAGCTGTTGTAAATAATGCTGCCATGAATATTCATGTACAAGTGTTGGGATTTTTTTTTTCATTTTTCTTGAGCATATACTTAGGAGTGGAATTACTAGACCAAATGGTAAATGTTTAATACTTTGGGAAGTTTTCAAAAACTGTTTTCCAAAGCAGCTGCACCATTTTACATTACCAGCAGGAGTGTGTAGAAATTCTAGGTTCTCCACATCCCCTTCAACACTTGTTACTGTCCCCTTTTACTAGGGCTATCCAAGTATTTTCTTTCAAATTTAGAAGAGTCATTGCTTTATCCAAGGAGCAGACAGAGTTGTGTGGTCTTGTGGTTATCTTGGGTTCTGATCCACATAGCACTTCACTTAGACATATTGAAATTATGCCTAGGAAATGGGAATAGTTAATATTTTCTACCTCCTAGGGTGGTAGTGAGGGTTGAGTGAGTAAATGTTTCTAGAACATTGTATTAGTTTCATAGGGTTGTATCAACAAATTAACCATAAGCTGGATCACCAAAACAACATAAGTTGTTTCAGTTCTGGAGATAAAGCAGAGCATTTACTTCATGCTCTCTTGAAAGTTCTGGAGAACCATTTCTTGTCTGTTCTTCTGGTGATTGATGGCAATCCTTGGTGTTCCTGGGTTTACACATGCATCACTCTGATCCCCTACCTCTGTCTTCATATGTTTTCTTCTCTGGGTATGTCTCTCCATGTCCAAATATCTCTCTTAAGGACTCCAGTCATCCAGACCCAGGACCTCATTTTAGCATAAAGACCCTACTTCCAAAAAAGTTCACATCCACAGCTACTATAGATTAGAACTCCAACATGTATTTTGGGGGCATGCTTCATCCCATAGCATAAATATATTTAATGATTTATAAGTTTACAATAAGTTTATACTTTAAGTTTTAAATTAAAACTGTCCTATTTAAAATAATTTGGGTAGGACTATGAGAGAGCATAAAGCAGTTCCTGGCTTCATAGTGGCACCCAAACCACCAGTGGTGATCTCCATGTTGTGAGTCCTGTGCTGGGAGAAGCACTTAAGATGTGAAGGCAAGTTAGAGAGTAGCTATCTCTTAAACTTGGGACATGGTAGCTGTTCCATGTCCTCAGGATCTCTTCAGTCTCCTTTGACCCTTGAGGCCAGAGAACCTGTAGGTGAGGCCCCTTGGGGAAGAGGGGCAGAGATGAATCTGGATGTATGGACTTCCCCATGTGGATTTGCTGCCTTACACCTGGTGAATTTCAGTCACTGGAGCTCTGGGGTAGTGTTTCGTTTTGCTTTGAGGGGGTGGGAGTGCAAATAAACAGAAGAAATAGCTTAATTTTCTCCAAACATGAAATAAGACTGAAATTTACTGGAAATCCTTATTCCAGTGGCAAGTGGTCCTAGAACACATTCCAAGCCCCAAGGATAACTCACTTTTTCTCTCTTCTCATGTCTCATGGGATTGAAGCTCAGAAATGAAGTGACTAGGAGTTCCATCTGGCATTGGAAACTTTGCCCATTGCCCTGTATTGTTTTGTTTCAATTTGAAAACCTGTGTTCCTCATTGAAAAAAAAATTAATATACTAGAAAAAGAAGGGGCAGGGAAAGCCAATGCCCTTACATCATATGTGGTCCTCAGGTTAACTTCACATAGAATTATCTGGGAGTTATTTGTAAAATAAACAAAAAAAAAAAAAAAAAAAAAAAAAATCTGGGGTTGGGCACTATACATTTAAAAACTCTCCAAATAGATTCTAAGTGCAACCAGGGTTGAGATCTGCTGTATTATTAATAATTTAAATTTTGTTATTTCTTTATGGTAATCTTTTAGTAGCACAGGACTTAAACCTTCATAATTATCCTCATCCTAAAAATTATTTTTGGTATCACAGAACATAACTTCATTATTTTTTAAATATTTTTTGTCATTGGACCTTTATTGATACGCAGTGCTGACAGTTGAACCCCAGTGCCTCACACTAAGCAAGTGCTCTGCCACTGAGTCCAAGTTTCATTATTTTTAAGTGGCTGCATGGTATTGTATTGGATGGAATAAATCTTTATTAACGGCCTACAGATAGAAACTGCATTTGTGTGTGTGTGTGTGTGGGGGGGGTCTACCAAAAACTAACAATCTCATGTGTACAGTCTTTTTTTTCGGGAAAACTTTCCGTAAGTGAACACTTGAAATCTGAATTACATGCTGATAATAGTTCCTCCAGGTTTTGTTTACTTAACACTTAGGCTTGATGTGGTGCACATACTGTCCTACATTACAATAAGAGAAACTCAGACGACGAAACGGCCCAAGTTCACCTGCGACTCGGTAAGACGGTCACACACTAGGTCCGCGGCCGCGTCCCAGCGCTCCAGCAAGCATTCTTGACAGGCTGTCGGAGGAGCCCGGTTAAACCCGAAATTCAACCTCTCGGTTCAAAATAGTCTGCGCTTGCGCTGTGAGTCCGCCTTCCGGAGCGGGAAGTCGCGTCCCAGCGTCGCGCCGCTCCGCCCGCCCTCCTTCCGCTTGATTTTCTTTGCCATTGGTTGATGATGGGCTATATAAGAACGTCATTTCCGGCTGCCTGTCCTTTCCGCGCTACCCAGGGAGGGATCCATACGGCGTTGTTCTTGGTGCGTTTCTTTTGGGGGTTCCTCGCGCTCTCTTAATCAGCCTGAACCAGTTTCCTATGCAGATAAAGGGCGCGAAAACTAAAATGAAGGCCCGTGGGGCCTGGGCCGCCTTCCGTCGGCGTGCTCTGCCTCAGGCCTGCGGCCCACACGTGGCTAGGCTCCCGGCCGAGGTACGGACCATGGCGTGAGTGGGCTGGGTCCCTTCGCCCCCCCAATGTCAGTAAACCGAGACCCAAGGGGCGATCTGCACCACCTGCTTGGCTGTAGTGTTTTCTGTTAGCGCCTTGCGGGTCAGGAATTAAAATTCTTAGCAAGGTTTTCGGAAACTAGTGATAGCTTGGGGAAGTAAATTCCTAAACTTAGGGTTACAACCTTCTGGGGGAAAAAAACCTGTTAAGCTTGGCATATGCTCAAACATGGCGGCTCTTTTCACATCTAGTTACCTTTGTCCATAACTTTGCTTTATTCTTGTGTACCTTGAGAATCGTTAAATTTAGTTAGCTGGTTTTTAAATTACCTTGGTGTTTTGTGATCCACGCTACTTTTCTTTACCAGATTTGATATGCTGGGCGTGGTGGCTCATGCCTGCAAATCCAGCGCCTCCAATGACTGAGGCAAGAGAATTGCAAGTGAGTTTCTAACTCAAAAAAGACTGGGTAGATAACTGAGTGGTGAGCGCCTCTGGGTTCAATTACCGGTACCAAAAAAGAGTTAATTTGCTGTAACTCTTAGTATGCTGTGCGCCCGTTAATTTTCTGTCTTGTTCTTTCATTACCTTGTAAGCTCAGTACCTGACACTGTAGAAGATGAAATTTGGTTGCATTTAAACTTGAAGTTTAAATGGAGCCACCCCTATTGCTGGTATAGTTAGAAAGCAATCCTCTTTCACTTCATTCACACTAGATTGTTAACATTTTTCTTTCAGATTCCCGTCGTAACTTTAAAGGGAAACTGTCACAATGTCCGGAGCCCTTGATGTCCTGCAAATGAAGGAGGAGGATGTCCTCAAATTCCTTGCAGCAGGAACCCACTTAGGTGGCACCAACCTTGATTTCCAGATGGAACAGTATATCTACAAAAGGAAAAGCGATGGTCAGTTACTGCTTTAATTTTTTGTTATTTTAGCTGTAAGTACAAGTTTTGATTATGCCTTCTCATGGATAGTACTAAGGGTTTTGGTGGTGGGGGGGAGAAAATATTTTTGAATTCTAGAGGGAAGACTATTTATATCTTAGGTTTGGGGATTTGAAAAGATGTGAAATGTCAAGTACCATATTTCCTATATTTCCTCCTACTTAAAGGTTTATTTAACTGAATTCTAAGAAGAAAGTACAGCAAAGGGTGGGGATAAGCAACTTTGCTTGGAAACAGAGAAGGAAAGATAGGTTATGATAACAACCTGGAGTAAAAGATTTAAGCTTGGGAGTGCAGTGCTGTAACTGAGATGTAGAATGAGTATGTTATCAATGGAGATAGAAAAGGAAGAGTGGCTAGAGGGCCTGGAAGTGGGTAAGAATTTAGAGAGGAGCCCA